GTGGAAATAAGCGCCATGCCCTACGTGTGTGCAATGTCGCCCAACATACCAAGTAGGTCGCGATGGTACGACCACGCTACGTCGCTGCGTGGTCACTCTTATTCCGGCGACGACTAGCGCAACTCGTTTTTCGCATTGTCTTTAAATATGAACATTTACACATTTTGCAGAGGTCAAGGAAGGCACTTTATTTACTACGTGGTGCTTTTGAAATGGTAACGTAAAAAAAAAAGGCAATTGTACATATTTACTTCTTTTTATGATATCAAGTGATGAAGCGAACATGTCGTGTGCCTGGTGTTAAGCGATACGCCTGTCCATGGCAGTTGCAGTGCCATTTGAGTGCAGTGTCACCCTGAGGCATATGATGACAAGTCACAAGTGTTTAAAATTTCACTAGCACATTTACCTACCCTCCAAAACCGGAACGTACTAATGCTCGCATTACTGCTTGGTGGCAGAAATAGGTAAAGTGGCAGTACTTCCCTGGACAACTTTTCCACAAGGAACTCTTATTATATCATCAACCTATCTATACGTCCCACTGCTGGGCACGGGTCTCCTCTCAGGCGAGGGTTTATGCCGTAGCCCACCACGCGAACTCTATGCGGGTTAGGGATTTCACTCGTTTTCCTGGGGTTGTGAACTTTCTTTAAAAAGCTTATGGTAAATTTTAAATTAAATTTCGCACATAAATTCCGAGAAACTCAGTGGTGTGAGCCCGGATTCGAACCTATGAATAATTTATTATTATTATCGAAATTATGAATAATTTATTGTTTTGTTTTTATAACATGTTGTTTCAATGGATATTGCGTGAGTATGATGAAAAGATTATATAGATTATTGCAAGTGTCTATAAAAACCTTTAGTATGCCGTAAGGCGTGTCACAGTGATTTAAAATGCATTCTTGTCACACCTTTATTGAATGTGTAGGTATAACAATAAAGTAAATAAGGTTGAGTAGATACAAGCGAACATTATTCATTACAATTATTTTTCTCTCATTATTTTTAACAAGGATTTTGACACTATAATTCGACGTTAGAAATTTCTAATGTCGCATGGGAGATTTTCCCCATACGACAAAATGTCACTTACGACATTTTAAAATTCGATACTTAAATTTAATAATTCGATACTTAAAATAATTTTGTTGAACTATCGAATTTTAAAATGTCGTAAGTGACATTTTGTCGTTAAGGAAAATGTCCTATACGACATTACAAATTTCACCATAGATGGTGTTTTGCCGGCCTCCTGGGTAATCCAAGTACGTGGTCAGTAAGGGATATTATGGAAATATTAAATACATTAATGTAAGTATAGATCTTTTTGGCTGCTTTATGTGAAGGGTCTCGCAGAACAATATTTATGTCTCCATTTCGTCGAATCTCCTCAATTCCAAGTCGTACTTTTTCGGCCCTAGTGTGTGTCACCCTCCACTAACAGATGGATCAGGTCTTCAATTCTTTTACAGTAATCACAGCGGGGTGAGACGCTTTGATATCTATCAAGTGATAAAGTTTATTTAGTGGAATGTGACCAGATCTAATTCTACATGCTGAAACAAATTACAATATAATTATATTGCATAGGTAATATGACATTTGAAATCGTCACCTTGATCAAATGCCATTCCTGCAGATTCCTCGGAGAAGAAAGAACAATCCCACTTTTTAAATAATTTTTTATTAATATTGATCATTTACAATATAATATTTTAGAAGCAACCTGGAAAACCTGCTCTAGTAGCAGTAGAACTCTATGTGAAAGAATTCGTAAAGAACCACTTCTTATACCACTATTACTGCCCTTGACGAACTCTTACCATCACCTATTTCTGACGCCAAGCAGTAATGTGACTTACTGTGTTTCTGTTTTGAAGGGTGCTGATGAAATTACACGCATATGAGACTTTTCGACTTGTGTCTCAGGGTGACAGGCGCAGTAGCAGTGCCCTTCAGGTCTTTGGAATTTCAAGCTCTGACCGGCACTGTAGCTGCACGACTTGTACGTCCCGTCACTTGATGCTATATCTAAAGTAGTTGATTGGTTTGCTGTTAATAACCTACTTCTTAATGAGAAAAAAACAAATTGTGCGAAATTTACATTACCCAATGTTAGAGAAACGGTTACAAACATTGTAGTTAGAAACGAACAATTGAATCTTGTGGATACAGTTGTATTTCTAGGTATAACGTTAGATGCTAAATTGCAATGGGGTCCCCATATAAGTAAGTTGTCAAAACGGCTTGGCTCTGCAGTGTACGCGATTAAAAAAATAAGGAAACTTTCAGACGTCGAAACAGCTAGATTAGTTTACTTCAGCTACTTTCACAGTCTAATGACATACGGCATTTTGCTTTGGGGTAATGCCGCCGATATCAATAGAATCTTTGTCCTGCAGAAACGTGCAGTTAGGGCAATTTACAATCTGGGCCCCAAAGTATCTTTGAGAGATAAGTTTAAGGAAATTAACATTCTTACACTAGCCTCACAGTACATTTATGAAAATGTAATTTATGTTAAAAGGAATAGTAATTTATTTATGAAAAATAGTGACAGACATAACATTAATACGAGGAATAGAAATAAACTAGCTTTTCTTGATAGTCGTCTTCACAAAGTCAAAAAATCATTTAAGGGGCAATGTATACGCTTTTATAACAAGATTCTGGTTGATATACAAAATTTGCCTTTCACGAGGTTTAAAACTATAGTGAAACAAAAACTTTATACTAAAGGTTATTATACAACTTCTGCGTACTTGGATGACAAAAATCCGTGGTAGTAACCCGTTTAGCTCATGGAGGTAGTCTCGATCTCTGATGTTTCAAATAAAAAAAAAATATTGTAAATGTTATTTACAAAGAGCAACCCCTAGAGTTTCTTGCTCATTCTTCTCAGGGGAATCTGCCTTACGAATGAGCGGTAGAGTTTAACCATTGTGACGATTTCAAGTGTAATAATGCTTACCTATGAAATAAAGATTATTTTGAATTTGAATTTGAATTTGAATTTGAATTTATCAAATAGAAAAAACTACCACGGTTTTTTGTCATTCATGCAAGCAAAAACTGTATAATAATACTTTACCAATATAATACCATACCAACCTTCAGAAAAATTTTTCTTTAACAGTATATTTAAAAGTATATTTAGTAGTAAGTAACAGTATATTTTTATAGCTACTGAAGTAAACCTACTCAGAATGTAATTACGAAACCTTATCAAGTCAACTCAATCAACTCTATTAAATACATATTTCAAGTCTAAAGCTTTACAAGTGACACAGAGCTTTCACTGCCACGATTAGGGTTTTCTTCTAACAAATATCGTAAGCTAAAGTTCGAGCATTTGCCAAGTAACATTACAATGTAACTTTTCATTCAATAGTCTCGTGCCAAAGTAGGCCGCCGCGTCTGCCGTCGACGCGCTTGCGCACCTGTCACTGGCAGAACTGGTTATACCACTAACAACTGTCATAACATTGTTCACATACTTTCAATACTCTAAATTCCAATGTCGGGGAAAGCATTTTGGCTGCTCTGTCTTATTTTTTATGTATGTCAATTACTATTTGCTTTATGTAAGATACTAGAATAGAAGTTATAGGCTCTGTAAGAACGTTTTTTATATGCTGATATTTCCTACAAAAATAAGACGAGGGCGGTTTCACAAAGGTGGAGAAAAGGAAGAGGAAATCCACCACCAGCTGTAACCTGTGTGGCACTGCACCGACAGAACCGAACTTTATGCTGCGTCCGGTCATACCGACGACGCTGCTGTACCTGTCGCGACTGCATTACTCCACGAAGTCTTGAGGAGATAGTAGAGTACATCTAAAAGTCAAATACACCCTGAGAGTCGAGCGGCTGGAGTCCCGTTACAACGTGAATTTTAATTCAGTTGTAGTAAAAGTGCCGACCGAACATCTGGACTTGATGAAGGACGACTTTTGGCCGAAGGGTATTTATATCACGATTCCGCGGCCTGTTACCTGACACCAGATTGCGCCACACGTAACGCACACCACGTAGCCGGCAAGTGCAATTGGTAAAGAGTCCTTACGGTATATATTATGTGGGTCATGTGGATTGAACGAAATAAATAAATAAAATAAAATAAAAAACAATAAATATAGGTGTTAAGTCACTTTAGGTCCTAAGTGAAAATGAGTACTGGGAACGCATTGCTTTTTCCAGAAAATTTAGAATTAAGTGATACTTTTGTTACCACAGCTAACACCACACATAGTATATTTATACTTAATAGCTTGTTTATAAAAATAAATAATTAGTAACTTTTTCTTTTTTTTTTTTTGGTGTCAATTGTGTATTGACATATATATTTTCTCTCTTTCTTTAGAACTAAAAGAAGTTTAATCTTTATCTTTTATTCATTAACAATAAATGTTAAATTACAAATAAAACATAATAAATGTTATATATTAAAAACCTGTGATATATCGTACCCTTGATATAATAATGCGACATGTGATATCGAAAGTGCATTTATCACATCAAAGTCATAAAAATAATACGAACTACAAATTATGTACACATATCGTCGCCTTAGAGTGAAAACCTCGCATACGCGTTTACAAATACTTCGATTTTACTGATTTTTGCTGAAGAAAAACATATAAACTTCATGCTCAAATACTATCTATAAATCATGCTCAAATATAGAAAGAGGTTTAATTTATCAAATTAAAATGCTAACTACAAAGGTTTTAGGCGTTTACTACATTTTACACCACATTTTTATCTTCGTCCTTAAAGATTACGTAGAAATCACATAAGAGGTATTCACTCTAAGACGACGATATGTGGAAATTTATAACTCTCCTATTTAAAACATTAAAAAAATTACCACCTAATTTCGTTAGTGGAATTTCCTGGAAAGTTGTCATTTTAATGATGTGGCCTTATTATACTAAAGGTTCAATTATTTTTTTTAATTTTTGACATAGCAGACGTATTTCGAATTCCAGTACCTGAACGGCATCCACATACCTGTTGTTCAGCACGGTGACAAGTTCATAGCGGGCGCGGGAGCGGGTGCGACCGCTGTAACGCTCACCTACCCATTGGACACGATCCGAGCGCGACTCGCCTTCCAGATCACTGGTGAGCACAAGTATACCGGCATTGTGCATGCTGCAACTACTATGTTTCGGACGGTTAGTACAAAATTGTTCTTTACGTTCTTTCATAGTATATCTCGTTTTTTAAAATTTAAACTTATTTTGAGAAACATTACAGTTCCACGAAGAAAAACTATGTATAAAAGTTTTTCTTCACAGATGGCCCTAAGGCAAAAAAGTCGTTAGAAACCAAAAATATAGATCTGGAACAAACACATGGAAAAAATTGTGAGGTCCGTTGGTTCGTTCCATGGCATAGTTGGCATGGCGTCTGCCACGGTTTGCTGGGAGACGTTGGGTCGAATCCAATCGGATCGAAGTGTATATTTTCTAAGTCTTCTATCTTTGTTTAATAATTATAACAGTTAATTTCCCGAAAATTAACTTTTTCCTTTGGTGACCATGTTGGTTACAACGTATGATATACACATATAAGCTCTTATGAACTCAGAAGAATCTAGTCTATCCGATATTGATTAGGAACTGAGAAGAGTCGTAATTGATCCGGTTAGTTCAATGTGGTTTGACGGAATTCAGCTGTTTCTAGCTGTTAAAAACGTTTCCGATATGCTTGTAATTTACGATATTTTCCGTATCCACGCAACTGATTAGTAAATTGATGACAAGATCACGTGGCAAAAGAGCTGCTTGTGAAAAAGATCGTCCAGGGATGTACTGCCACCTTACCGACTTCTACCGCCAAGCAGTAATGTGAGCATTACCTTAAATTTTGAAGCAGAAGAAGAAAGTACGTAAGTAAGTAGGATATGGGATTTGTCAACTCCTCAGGTGTTTGCTAGCCAATAGGCGCACGACTTATTCGTCATGTTATGAGATTTCATAAAAACTGTGAGGAGAGGATGTGATCGAGGATGATGAAGTTTTTCGTAGAAAATATCTACAGGATGTAACCAAAAGGCACGACCATGTGTGGGCAGACCCATATCTTTCTACTTAAGTTTTTTTTATGCGCCTGATAAGCGACGCGCCTGTCCATAACAGTTGCAGTACACTCAAGAGTTTAAAATCACAAAGATCTAAGGAGTACTGCCACTGCGCTCGACACTCTGAGACATAATGGTTGAAATTTGAAATGTCGTCAGGAATATTTTGTCGTAATGGAAAATGTTCCTTAATACAAAATGTCGCTTACCACATTATACACTTGCCCTTATATCGACAGTGGAAATCTGAAATGTCGTAAGAGACACTTTGCCGTAAGGTCTTTTTCCTTAACGACAGAATGCCCCTTACGACAAGTTCCATGTGCCTGTAATTTCACCAGAACCCTTCAAAACCGAAAGGCGGTAATGCTCACACTACTGCTTGGCGGAAGAAATACATAGGTAAGGTGGTAGTACCTCCTTGGACGAACTCTTTCACAAGGATTCTACTGCTACTAAAATTGTTTATGATACCTCAATATCATACCTATCGAACCTTACTGGAAGGACACTATTACCTATACAAGTAAGCTTAACAGGGACCTCATTGAGCTAGGTACCGGCCTCGGATCAGCCCATTTACACAGACTTCATCCGGTCAAAAGGCTAGTGCCTTGTGTGAGCGAGAGCGACCCCGGGCATGTACACCATTCTCCCTACTGGCCGGATAGGTACCGGAGCTATTGTCATCGCTAAGCCGTTCAATCTATATTAAATTAACAAATTTCCAGCAGAGTTGTCGGCAGACCATATATAGGCAGAAAAAATTGTAATTGTTTGTTGTAAGCGCGATTATTAGCTAGAATAAAGTTAATACACATATTAATTAAAAACCGGAAAAAAATTCCGCTAGCATGGTGGTAGACAATTAAATAAAATAGCCTACAAATCACGTGTAGATTCCTCTCATCTTACGTAGTCCACGCCTCATTAACCAGCTAATAAAAGCATCGTACAAGCAAATGACTTGCAAATCGCGAATTGTACCGATAACTGTAATGAGAACTTACGGTAACTATATTTATGTGTTTACCTGAACAACTAAACCGATTACAAACAACCACTGCCACACTTAAAAAACTGACTATGTCAAAATTGTTTCACAAAAGAGACCTAATACTTACTTAAATTTGCATTGAATTGATGTTCAATTATTTTTTGTGAAATTACTCCACTAGTTTGTCATAATTATTAATACAAAGATCGAATACTCAGAAAAAATTCCTTCGATTCAGTCGGGTTCAAACCGACGTCTTCTAGCAAACCGTGACAGGCGCTATGCCAACTAAGCCACGGCACGAACCAGCGGACCTCACGATTTTTTCTATGAGCGTGTTGTCGGATTTGGTTTTCAACGATTTTTAGCCGTAGCGCCATCTATGTGAAATCTATGAAAGTATTTCGCCACCCAGCTAGGTAACTTTACAGCTACCAAGCTCTGGCTAGATCCGGAGCGAAGGATTTTTTCTGAGTGTTCGACCTTTGTATTAATAATTATGACACCCCTAATGATTCTTATGGCAGTTTCCCTGTACCTCCTATGGTTACGGATTTAGTAGCAGTAGAAGCTCCTTGTGAAAGAGTTGGTCCGGGGAAGTACTGCTATTTTACCTAAATTATCAGACTGTATTTCTGCCGCCAAGCAATAATGTGAGCATTACTGCGTTCCGGTTTTAAAGACTTATGTCTTAGGGTGACAGAGGCAGTAGCAGTGCCCCTCAGATATTTGTGATTTAAAGCTCTGAGTGGCACTGCAGTTGTTATGGACAGGCACAGCTTACCACCAGGCACATTTTTTTCGTCCCGTCACTTGATATATATTGTCAAGCAATAAACAAGACATTCAACCGGGTGTCCAGTAGAGTCGTATTGTATCGCTCTTCGTGTTGTTGTATTTAGTGTCTTGTATGATTTAGACATTGGTACTACCCGTAAGGGGGGCCGATGACCTGGTGGTGGTGGTAGCGTTCTTTTGGGGAGGCCTATGTTCAACAGTCAACTGGTCTTTCGGCTGAAATGGTGATGATGATTGTGATGCAAATTTTCATGAAAAAATACAAAGTACAGTGTGTTTTAGTGTTTAAAGATTTGTTATGGAATTTCACTAAAAAAAGACTAAAAATCTTTTATAGGCTGTTCTGTTTCTTAGGGTCATTCTAGAACTTTGCATTGAGTAATGCTCAAGTCAGGATTTGAGTATGGTTTAAAGCACTCGAAATCATACTCAAGTCCCTGCTGTTAGGGTCGTATTTCCAGTGCAATCCTGGCTTGAGCATTGAGTAGAGTTCTAAAATACGACCCTCAGATTGCAAATATATTTCACAGAGCGTATTTCGGCTGTAAATGGCACCTTATAAATACTATTAGATGTATTAAACAATTTGTTTTTTGGCCTACCCACACTAGTGTTTATAGTGGCAAGAACTGCTTAAGTTCGGTTTACGGTTACGATAAACGGTTTTTTATTTCTTGTAATAGTTTTTAAAACATACTTTAACTGTCGCGGCCAGTTCATTAGATCCTCACACAATCCCCCGCTGCCAAAGTTTGGGAGAAAAGGCTGTCCCCTGCGTCTTTGGGATGAGGTCTTTAGGCTGTCATATGGATCTCCCCTAGGCTGGCCGCTTTGGAAACAATCGGATTGGCTGTAAAGCCCTTAAACAGCAAATTTTTAGTGCCAGGTTGGTTGCAGTGTTGATTGTTCCTTACGATTGAGCGTGATGGTGTTATTAAAGCGAGTAACACTATACATTAGCGCCATTAGCTTTGACTACACTTTTTCAAATAGACTCAAGGCGTGACGTATTGAGTGACGTAGACTGTACACGATACAGAGGGAGCAATCTACTGTAATGTGTAGTTACACAGAGTACATAGAGTTCTATATTCTTAGTGATTTATTATCTATAGATTGATCTGTGCAGGGTGTAACAAAATTATCAGTCCGTATTTCAGCTGATTGATTGATGATTCGCGATTGTTACACCTTGGAGATGAAACTATCCTGTTTTCTTTTGACTGCCGTAACCACGGGACCTTTATATGGCCGGAAACTTTGATTTGTTTGAAAAAACAAATATACGCGCACATACATCCATCAAAAGTGTCTAGGGATCAAGGTATTTTGTTAAAATATTTGATTAATGAATACCTTATCAAAATTAAATAAAAATATTTAAAATTTATTAAATTATTTATTTTTACTATTCAAAATTGACCAAAACGCCGTTGGTGTTAAAAAAAAATTTTAAATCCTGATTTTCAGTGATTGGCAATAACGTGGTTGATCCCTTGGTACTTTTGATGTTTGTAGATAAAAAAAAAACTTTTTATTTATTTTTTACCTACATAATATTTTTTCTTCCCAATGTAGTTTATTGTTATTGTATTATATTTACATACATAAACTCACGCCGTTGTCCCAAAGGAGGGATAGGCAGACACCAATTTTTTTTTTTATATAATAGTACCGATATGGTTTATTTCCAGGAGGGCGGCATACGCGCTTTGTACCGGGGATTTGTACCCACCATGTGCGGCATGATCCCATATGCAGGCTTTAGCTTCTACTGCTTCGAATACCTGAAATTCGTCTTGATGAAGTATCTACCTTTGACATTCTGCAAGAAGTGTGATAGAAATACTGGTAACATTCATTATTACAACATTTTATACTATCATATTACTATTACTGTTTTATATTACTTTCTATGTTTAATAATATTTTGACTAAAGGATTTGAATCCCAGGTCAGAAAAAAAATAAAAAATCAATATAATTATCGATATAATTGAACATAGGGCTCGGTAAATTATAACGTCGTTTACTATTAAATCCACCAGGCGCACGACTAGTTCGTCCCTTAATTTAATATCACAAAAAAAAGAAAAAGTCAACCTTTTCAAAGACAAACTCAAATTCATCTCCAATTGCTTGATCGCACGGTTCATGACTTCATGTGAATAAAAAATTTAAAACTTTCATAATTGGAATCAACTTCAAGAAACTTGATATAGCCACAGAATACCGAATAGTTTAGGTAGATATCGCGCTTTGAAATAAACATTGTCACTAAACGAAAAATGCAACTTTCCGGACTTTAAATTTAATTTAAATTGCCCTAGAACGCTCGGAGTGTTCTAGGGGTTAAGTGGCTTCTTTTTCAATCTTATGATTCTCTCTCGTCTTCCGACATAATAAGCCACATGAAACAACAAACTTTTTTCATTATTTTATTCTTTTGATTTCCGGTAGAGTACAATCAATGCTCTAAGGTACTTGCCACCCCTTTTTTTGCGAGGCGAGAGGGAAATACTTTATGCATACCCTTAAGCCCGAGGAGGCCCCGACCGCCTAGCAAACCTTTTGGTTCTGAGAACTTTCATAGGCATTGAACATGACAAAAAATTAAGGAAGTCCACCTTTTTGGTTGTAATTTGTATTTATGTAATATAATTAAAGGCATGTATTTAAATGATCATTTTACAAAAAATCTAAACGGTCAACTTTTTAAATGATTAATCCTCTTTCTCTGAGACCTAGAATAAATTAAATCGATGGACATTTAAATTTGTTCTGAGCTACGCAAAAAATGTTTGATTTGTATAAATTAACTTTGATAGTTTTATGTTGGGCCTCAAAACAAAACAAATGAGCATTAAAAATAAAATTTTGATACTTATTTCTAAAACTAAGTAAATGTTGATTATATTTGTATAGATTATATTTGTATAGTAATATTATATTAATTATAATATAATTTGACCTGAAAACATATTCGGAAACTCAACCAAATTGGCTTCTGGCTTTTTTATGTACTAACCTAATCTACTTAATGGAGGGTGCACTTATCAGGAGATCAATATCAAAAGATATACTGCTTATTTACGTCATCAATCGTTAAAAGAAAAGAATAATGACCAATAGTAAAAAAAGAGGATCAAATATTATTTTTGAATAACAAATATTAATTTAGTATGCTTTAACATAATAATAGTGTTAAAGGATGCAGTTCATTTATAATTTATCCGTAGACCAACTAATATAGATGGAACAATTAATATATCAAACATAAAAAAATATCGTTTACATAAAAAAGTGCACATTTACAATAGATCAATTATATCTTTGAGGATCAAATAATATTATCCCGTAATTAAAAATCAAATTGACTTAAAAACGTCAACGTCAATTAAAATTAAAACGTCATTCACTTGATGAATTAATTAAGGACGTGATACCAAAATGAATTTTACGGCTCACAGGTTAAAGATTAAGTTTTGTTTAACAACTATCTTCACACTGATCTATTCCGTACCGAATAGACGGTTAGGGGATCAGGTATCTTAGAGCATCGACTGTACTTGACTCTACTCTAGATTTGTTATAGGAAACAGTCTTTGTAGAGATTTAGGTTGACCTTGTATTTCATTTCGACGGAAATAAATTCATCACAATCAGACAATAAATGCCTTTTATTATTACTATTGGATTGTAATTGCTAAGCGCGCCTTCATGACTGAATAGGTAGTTCCGGATTGTTCTAGAATGCATCATATAGTCGTTTACTATTACAGGTGGTCTAGTATTGACAGTACCCGGTAAGCTTTTATGCGGCGGCCTAGCAGGCGCAGCGGCTCAATCGGTGTCATACCCTCTCGACGTCACCCGCCGACGCATGCAGCTGGCGTGCATGGACCCGAAAACTGAAAAGTTCGGGTATGTACAGTTTCGCTTATATGCTTGTAACTAATACACAAAATGCAAACTGATATATACTTTCTTTATATCTTGTGCACTACGCCCGAATGCAACTCTACCGCTCACTTTAAAGTGATATAAGGTTCCACAATATCTGCTTTTATTTTTGTCTAATTGCCTTAACTTCACAGCCAATCTGTACGACGTATTACGGTTTAACACCTAAACCAATATAACAAATCTTTATTTTTCTTTTTTGAACTAAATGAAAATTCTTAAGAGTGAGGACAACATTTTTAAACTCAATTTAGTACAGAATTCAATTACTCTGTTAAGTCTTTATCAAGTTCCGTAAATACGTCTTCTAATACGTCTTCTAATTGTCGCGTTTGTGACGTCGCGGTGTTGTTGAGCTATTTTGTGTGTGGTTTATAAAATTGTTTTATGAAATAGCGGTCAATATAATGAGAATATGGTAATATCATCTAACATTAAATCGCAGCAGCATAAAATGGGCATACCTGTGACGTCATGCCTTAACGTGACAATCTATGTGTTTACTGACTTATTAGAGTATAAACGAATTAGCAAGAGTTGTCGTGAACAACACATGTGTGTAGGTTTGTGAGTGTGAATGAATCGATAGGTATACACGATCGCAGCAACGAGGTTTGAAACTCTTCCTCCATTCGCGCTTGCACACGCTCAGATTACGGCGAAAAAAAGACAACTATTAATTGAGGTTCCTCAGTTGTGGTTTACGTTCGCCAGATGGCACCACATGTACTTGAGATCCAGTCAAGTGCAGTTTCTGTAAATATTTTTAATATAAATATTTTAAAGCCACTTACGTTCGATTACAGTACGACATTACGATATTTGGTTATACCTTTAATAAAAATGGAAGTAAGTTAATTTGCTACTCCGCGAACCCAGTGAAGGTTAAATCGTGCAAAATAGCTGCGTTTGTGTTGAATTTTTTTTTCATGCAGTTAATTATCCCACCCTCCCTCCGCATAAAATTAATAAAATAAATGTAATTTCACCAGCACCCTTACCCTTCCAAACCGGAACGCAGTAATGCTCACATTACTGCTTGGCGTCAGAAATAAGTAAGGTGGTAGTTCTTCCCTGGTCAAACTCTTTCACAAGGCGCTCTACTGCTGCTAAATATTTGCCTACATTGCCTACTTCTAGGTCCTTCTTTATATATAAATATAAATCTGCACTTACCAATAGAAAAGGAGAGCTGTATAATTATTATTCTATGTACTTACAGGCACTATAAAGCTAAATATCTGTCACTAATAATTATGCTACTTGTATTTCTATTGCATGACTCGCACATGGTGACGGCGACTAAACAGGAGGTGGGTTTTTTTTATTATTATTTATTTGTGTTTGATACGGTAACACTTAATTTATTTTTACCTGGATATACACTTCCGGACACATAATTCGAGCCACCATGCATTTTCAGTTTATTAAGTGCCCTAAGCTTATCAAAAGAATATTTGATTGATCAAAAAGTATTATGCAATTTTGAAACTAGCATACAAAACGTCTTATGGTAAATAAGCCCTTGTTAGGAATTTGGATTTGCAAAACCGGGTGGAAACTTTTGTTTGATAATAACACTTTTTTGGTATTCTAGCCCTTTACGATAAAAACGCGAGGTGAGTCGAGTTATGTGTCCGGGAGTATATTTTAAAAATTTCCACCTATAAGTAAATCTATTAAAAATCCCCTAATTATTTTGTAATTTGTATGTGATTGTTTTTTAACTTATTTTAACTACTTTGCCTGTGATTTAATATAATTTGATTTTTTTTTATAGTAAACTTATTATGCACGACATTATTATTTTATCTCGTTAAAATAAATGCAATATTGTGTAAAGAATATTTTCAGAGACCTCGTTGTATGTAAAACAATGACTTTCTGGCTCCTTCAACAGTTCCTTCTCGGATTAATAAAATAAATTTTACAGCTCGGGGATGATAAAGACGCTAACCCTGATATACCGCGAGAACGGTATAGTAAAAGGTTTGTACCGAGGCATGAGTATCAACTACATCCGAGCCATACCCATGGTGGCAACCTCGTTCTCCACATATGAACTAATGAAGCAACTCCTACATCTCGACACGGGAATGGCGGTTTCTTAATTGTTCTCTAATTTGACTCTAAATTTCAAATGTGGGGATTTGGATTTTGTTAGGTGGAGGAGTTCATTATATGGTAACCACCATATAACGAACTCCCCCAATCAATAAAAATTAAGAATGTGGCGATGTGAGTTTATAAACTCTAAAAATCTATGGCATTTTAGTTAATAATGGTTGGGATTACAAGAAAGTGTACGAAATAACTATTATTAATTGTATTATTGATATTATCTCGCCCGCTAAAGGTTCATAGGTCTTCTGCATTGTCATTGACCATATAATCTTTCATAAATACTTACTTTTACTGTACGATATTTGAACATAAACAAACTTTAATACAAATGTGGATACTTGGTAGAAAAGAAGGGCGTAAAAGCCAATTCTTATCAATATTGAGTTCATGATGCTGTAGCAGAGGCTTAGCAGAAGAGTTGGAGGGAAGTTAAACGCTTGGTGTTCAGATTATCATTGCGATACCTACGTCAACTGTTTTTTTGTCATTGTCAGGTTTTAATGTAAAAAGCTTTATTAATTTTGTATTGCAATACAAAAATTCTTTTTATTGTATACCAAAATAAATACAATACAATAATTAAAATAAAAAGAAATGAGCTGTGGTACAATGCGCGGTCATATCGCTTTAAGCGATTTCTGTCAGACAACCTTTGGATGGAAGTAATTATAATTCATAGGAAAAAGTCGGTGGTATATTATGCTCCTCGATTTTTTTATAAAAAAATATAAGACACAAAAAGATAAAATTCGTAAAAAACCCAATAAACGAATTTTGTGAAAAAAATTAACAAAAACAAAATAAAAACGGAAAATGACCAAAAATTAAGTTGGCGTAGTGTTTATTGGAGGTATAAATTTATTCGTGAACAACCCTTAACTTTATACAACATTTGGGTCAACGTAACGTATACACTAAACTTAAGTTAGAGAGACAGAGAGGACAAACATACCTGTCTGTATATACAGGCCTACCGCTTAACTGAGTCGGTTCCTGTGGGAAGAATGACAGATTACGCAACAATTATGTACGGGATAATTTAAATAAGATTTATTTTACGATATTCAACAACAAGTTGATTGAGAATGGTACCAAATGTCTTGTCCATTCATTTCAATTATCAATGAATGGCACTCCTCATGGAAGAATGGCATAAGTGGAGTTAAGTCAAACATGTTTATTGCTCCATTAGATACAGAAAAATATAACCCACATGCTCTCCAATTCTTCTAACTCTATGTACAACATTAGTCGATAGAATTACAATATTTGAATGAGGGGCGCATAGATTTTTTATTATCGTTTCACATAACAACAATTGACTAATTTGGTAGGCACTTTTTTCAATCAACTTGCTAAGTTGAATATCGTCAGAAAGATCTTGTTGAAGATCCCGTGGGCAGCGCGACTTAACTATTACGTAAACTGTCACTCGTCCCGTACCGCGAAGCTTTCTCAGGAAACGGCTCAGTTAAGCGGTATGCCTGTAACCCAAGATTCTGTTATTTGATAAAAATGTAACTTAAAAAAAAGATATGAACCAATTTTTTCTATATACTTTACAAGTTTTGTAAGCTTTGGAATTTGACTTCTACGCTCCTTCTTCTTCGTAAGTGTTGTAAACTTTATTTACATTGCCAGTATTGCTTACATACATTGCTAGAACCCCACATTTGAAAAAAAAAAGAAATATGTTGTAATATAAAATTGTCACAAGGCCTACAATTTAACTTGGGCCAAAACACAATTGGCGTCTATGTTGTAGAGTAATAATACTTATGAAAAACTTGACTCAGACGGTATAAGTAATGTTGTTTTTTTACAGTGTTGACTGTTTTAACGATTTACTAGAAACATGTAGAGTAACTATAGATGCATAAAACATCTATAATTTGCAGCAAAAGGGGTCTTATGCCTTTTATCGTCTCCTTTTATTTGTAGAACAAGTCCTGTATAGTGATTTAATATCTGCGTAGTAAACCAAGGGCAATTATTATAAATATGTACTCATATCATATTTTCAAGGTATTATATAGCAAAGACGCTGTTTTTAATACCTAAATATTTAAGTAAAAGATATTCTGTTGAACAGGGTCGTGAATTAAATCCAATTTCGTACTATAAGTACATCGGCATTATAGCTTCTTTCTACATAAATTGTGCCTTTTAAGGATGAAAAATATGAAAATATATAATTATGTTACAAAAACTTTTTATTTGAAATTCTTTCGCGTTTATTTTTTCATTGCGCAATTAAGTTACTTTAGTAACTAATTAGTTTACCTAGAAAACAATTTGGGGAAGAAATATTATCCTGGAACAGTTGTTAACATCGCTGCTATTTTATATTTAAAAGATATAAGTACTATAGTAAAGTTTATCTTTTTTTTTATAAGACCAAGTGATGGGACGAACAAGTCGCCCATCTAGTGGTAAGTACCATGCCTGCTCATAACAGTTGCAGTACCACACAGTGCTTTAAATCGCAAAGAGCTGAGGGGCACTGCCATTGCGCCCGTCACTGTGAAACATAAGTTGACAAGTCCCATGTGCGTGTAATTTCACTAGCATCCTTAACTTTCAAAATTGGAACGCAGTAATGCTGACACTACTGCTTGGCGGCAGAAATAGGTAAGGTGACAGTACTTCCCTGGACGAACTCTGTCACAAGGACCTCTACTGCTACTTCCTCTCCTATACTTCACAGATTGTCTAGAATTATCCCTATCTACTGACCCGAGAGATAGGGTTTTCCGGACGGCGGGCGTCCGGGCCAAGCTGTCCGCCGGTGATACGCCTTTGCGTCTTTGGCGTCTCTGGCGGACCCGGACTTGGGTAAGGACTCGCTGGGGTTTGTGGTTAGCTGCAGAAACGGACATGTTTGCCTGCCCCGGTTTTGCTTGTGCCGGGGCGTCTGTCTCGTGAGCAGCCAGCGCGTCTTAGTAGCAGTCTAGTTGAGGGCCTGTATGCGAGGAGACGCGCGGGGCACGTGAGTTGCCCTTTAAGTTGGAAGCTATGTCCGGACATTGTCGCAGGACACTGCGACTGGCATCTCTGGCACTAGCCCGGAGAGCTAGTAGAGGATAACCTAGATATCCTCCGGTCCCTCCAGCCGCTTAGGTTATTGGGAACCTGAGAGACGTCGTTTTTTGGCGTCGGGAAGTGAGCGTGCCTTACGATTTTGGTAATTATTCGCTTAAATGATTACGAAAACAGAAATGCGGCATTGAGAACTATAGACAACATTTCATGTAATTCTTTGTCTAAGTCATTATAGGTGTTGAATATATTTTCCGATTTCAACCACAGCTTCATCGTTCGAGTGACGGGTCATGAGTTTTGAGCTCTAAAATTTTGCGATTACCTTTGGTGCTGTGATTCTGGAGTAGTGCCGCCGAAATAAGCTTATTTCAACGTGGACTGTAAAAAACATAGTTATAATTTCAAAACGGCTACAAAAATCTAGTTTATTTACGATAAAAACCGACTAAATCACGACTTTATTAGTGGAATCGATATCGAGAAACAGTGCCGCATAGGCATAAGCGTATAAGCGTATTCCTGGTCCAGGGTGGACAGTAAACACCATTATAGCTTTTCAACAGAGGACCAACTAAATCGTTTTTTGCGATTGGAATCGATTAAATGGCAACTTTTTACCTGACTAGTGAAATTTAAAAAAAACTCGTGCATGGTCACGCTGGAATAAGGGATGCCATCCAAATTACAGGCACATGCGACTTGTCAAATTATGTCTCAGGGTGACAGGCGCAGTAGCAGTGCCCAAACTCTGAGTGGCTCTGCACCTGTTATGGACAGGCGTGCAACTTAACGCCAGGCGCATTACATTGAATTTATGCACCAGGCCGTCGTCGAATGCAAATGCCGCCCCATGGCGTTCACCTTCATTAGGTACATTTTATTTCTATCCCACAAATGTTTTGAAAGTTGAGTAAGATCGCACGTCTTATCCAGTTACCAGAAAAAAGTTTAAGTTTAGTAGGATTACTAACTCTATCGAATCATAGATTCGCCATAGGAAAACACCTTCCGATTAAAAAAATATATATTAACCGTAATTTCTAAACAACGGAATTCAACACGAACAACTATTGTCCCTTTCTTGCCGTACTATGTGCACCTTTTAAATGTAAAAAAAGTCAGCAGCGACGTCAATAACTCCCTGTATAACTTATGTACTTTTGATATTTACGGATCTACGTGCTAATACGAGAAAAACGTCTTGGTGAACGCAAGTAACATGTTACACGTGTACATAGATAATTTGTTAATATAAACAAAATATTACACACAACTCATATTTGAAGATGACAATAATAACTTAGCTGTCTATGATTTCGAATAGATATTATATTTTTATTCAAATTTTATATTTTTGGTTAAATATAACTTCAAAAGACAAAATTATGATTGTTGAACAATCAACTATTGGTAATTAGCGTTATTTAATTATAATTTGTAATGCAGAACAACAAATGTGTAAAATTTATAGCAAGAATAACATCTTATAAGGGTCTATTGAACATAGCAAATTCGCGCATAACTTTAAATCAGCATAGCTGCATATTAGTTTGCAAACCATTATGTCAAGATCCGTCTTGCGTATGTAATAAGTGTCTTAATAAGTCATAACTTATATTATTTAGTCACTGAAATGGAGTTTCCTAACATCATTATTTATGACTTATTAGCGCTTTGTATTGTAGTCAATACAAATGTGTTAAGAATGGGCTCAATTTAGATGTTTAACAAAATATTATTCCGTCTCTCTGCCTAACAAATCTAGGCGATGTTCTCTTGTAATTATTATTTATTGACAAAAATGTAAGGTCTGTTGTAGCTTTTATTAGATCGTAGGAGAAACATTCATTCCGCATTAATTATTGTATTTTCTAATTGTTTTGTTGATTACTCCTATTTATATAATTTTCTATTGCTCTTTAGTACAATTTCATTATAATTTATGAAAAATTGATTATGCATATACATCACAAAAAATAAAGTATGTAAAATAATTTTTACCAGGTTTTTTAATACACATCAAAAATGTTTCTTATTTCCTACAAATACTAGTTAGTTTACATAAGGTATTTAATGTTCTAATATTTGAAAGGAAATTGAGAACTTTTTGCAGGTGTTAATGATATGTATCGAATACCAAAGATACATTATATTCCACAAAATATATGTCAATAGTGAGGAAGTGGTAAATAAAAACATTTTAATATAATAACGATGGTTTCATTTTTATAATATCACCCGTGTGTATAATTTACAGCAGTTAATATAAAATAGAATTAAATGTAACTTGAAAGATATCCTAACAAGTGGATGCCCTAATGGAATTCAAGATTTAGTAAGGCTCAATTTACATTGCGGCGTAACGGAATGGAAGCGTCAATTTCGCCACACTGCGCGAACGGTCGCTGAAATACTCTTGCTCAAGCATTCCAGCGACCGCGTCTTGGGGCTGCAG